TCCCATCCCTGAGGTGTTGGTAGAGGGGCGTGGGCAGCGTCTGGGAGCGGGCCTTGCCCGGCCCAGCTTCATTCCGGAAAGATCTGCCGCCTGTGGGCACACGGCATCCCCAGTGCCGCGGCAGGCGGCTGGGAACCACGAGTGGACGCGCTGGTTGGGGGACACGCTTGGAGGACAGGCTCGGAGAGGCGGGCTCTGGCCCCGTGCGGCCATGGGACCCTGCTCGCTGTGAGTTCAGACGCGGAGAATCTCAAGCCCCCTCCTGCCCGCCTCCCTCTTGGCCGGCTGGGAATACGGCCCGGGCTGATGCACAGCGGGCTCGAGTTAATGCTGCTGCGAAAACCCGCGGGCAACAGAGGTGCAGCTTCCTGGGTGGGACGGGCTGCGGTCCGTGTTCAACTGCCCGCACGTTGGAGAGCGTTGGCCGCCAGGCTCTGCAAGAGAAATGGAGTCAGAAGGTCCAGCCGCGTGGAGTGGGTGCCGTGCCCTGTGAACACCTCCAGGGACATCACTCAGCGGACAGCCTGGGTTTCCTGTAGTTACTGTGTGGTTAAGTGCTAAGCGATCCTTTCATACTCTCTGAGCCTCGGTTTCCCCGTCTGTAAAATGGGAAGGCATGCTCCCGTTCGAATGGTCTTCCTGTGTCAGTCGAGTCCGTGTGTCCGCCCAGAACCTGGCATCCAGTGTGTGTTGAGCGTGTGGTTTCACTGGACGCCCCCTCCCCCAGGCCCTTCCGTCAGAGGGGCCCCGCTCTTCAGATCCCGCCAGCGGCCATGGCGAACAAGGGTGCTCCCCACCCTACCATGCTGTGCTCCCCCTGGGGCCAGGGCTGTTTTCTTCCTCAGCTCACCCCCCTAGCAGGGCCCCGACTCCCCAATTCACATGCAGAATCTCGAGCCACATCCTGGATTTTTCTGGATGACTTGACCAGCCCTGGAAGTGCCCCCCTTATTGCCATAATTCTCTTCCGCTGATCCTGTGTCCGTGTATGAGACCCGGCAGCAAATCAAAGCCCGCCAGGGGTCCCGTGACCTGTCAGTGCCGAGAACCAGACCGGCCCCTGGGTGAAGCTGGCTCAGAGTCTGTTCCTTCCCATCACCCAGTCACAGACGCCGTGCACGGCCGCAATCCGACCAAAGCTCAGAACCGCTTCAGCTGCGAGATCGTACCCCTAACGTCCGGTGGGAGAGCCCGTGAAGGACGCCTCTGCACCCCTGTAAGACTCTGGACACGTCCCTTTCCTAGCTGGGCCTCGGTTTCCCCAGGTATAAAGTGCAGGTGGTAATTCTGACCGTCTGGACCGGCGACAGGGGTCTTCTCGGGATGCCCTGCCACCTGACCGGTGCAGAATGAGAGCCAGTCCCCAGCACCCGTGCAGCCCCAGCAACCTCTCAGCCCAGGGTGGGTCTAGCGAGGTCAAAGAAAAGAGGAGAGGTGGCGATGGAGACATAGGCCCGTGTTGGGGGCGGGGGGAGCCGGCATACAGGGAACCCTGGAGCGGCCGATCGGGCAGAGCATCCGCTGCTGGGATCCACGTGAAGCAAGTTTTTACATCAGAGCAACTTAACCCAGCGACCAGCAGTGGCCCTGCCCTCCTGCACGGCCAGCGTTTCCGGGGAGATCAAGGCCTGGCTCCCGGACCCTCTTTCTTCGTTACAAGGGAGACGCTCCCGGGAGCGCTTGAACGCTGAACCACACATTAGCAGCGCGTCCTGCTTGATGGGAATCTGGAGGCAGGAGAGGATGTCTGCGCTCTCACGACAGTGACTGGCGGGCATTGGGGTGTGCCTGCGCAGATTAGCCGTCAGCACGTACGCACAGCATCGTGCTCATTAGAGAACACAGCTGGGTCCACACACAAGTGCACCCTCCACCAGGGGGAGGTCCGCAGGGACCCCACGGCCATGACCCTGAGCCTGCCTCCAGCTCGCTTTCCTCACCTCTCTAATCTCACGCAGGTGTCTCTGCCACTGTGTCATCAGCCCGTTACAGACCCGCATCGGTCATTAAAAGATAAAGAAACCACCTCTCACCGAGACCAGGCCTCACCCAAGGCCGTGCCCCTGCAGGGGCCCCCGCCACGAAGGCGGGCCCCACCTTTCGCACCTGCCGTGGCCTTCCGGGGGGAGATGGGTGGGAGACAGGGGCTCGTCTGCACCACGGGGAGGGGTGGGAGCCGAACATACGTCCCTGCCAATGAAATAATTATAGAGTATGAAAATGGCTCAATTAAATTATTTTTTAAAAAGTGAATATGTACAAACACTCAGCAATTAAGCAGCCGATTTGCAAAGAGCGACTTTCCAACTGCGCCTGCTTGCCTGCCCTGTTCTGTTTGCCCGGTTTCAGAGCCTGGGTTTTTATTTTTAATTTGAATAAATGCAGATTGGAATAATCAGGCTCCACGTTCCCAGATGCGCTTGAGGAGGACTTGGAGGGGGTGGGGGTGCAGAGTGCGGAGGAAGGTCACCCTGGGGGAGGGCCTGGCACGGAGGGGTTCAGGGGTCGTGGGGGCAGCTGAGAAAAGGGCCCGTGGGGGTGGAGCCACGAGGGCCGGTGCCCGTGCTGGGACGTGATCACATCTAATCCCCACGGTTCCCTGGGAAACCCTTGCTGCCCAGAGAGGGCAACCTGCTCACCAGAGGTCACACAGCCTCCAGCTCTGACACCAGAGCGCCTCCACAGGAATCCAGTAAGCATTTATTGAACACTAGCTGTATGCCTGGGGGTGCGGATTCTTGGATGATCCTGGTGACCGCTGTCCTCACTGACCGTGTGATCTGCACCGACTTCAGGAGGAGGCCGCATTAGGTTTACAGTTGCAGAGGTCCCAGCTTCTGGCCTGCCCCGACTGACCAGCTGGGCTCTGAGACAAGTCATTTTCTATTTCCCAGACTTATCCACGGCAATGAATTCCCTTCTCTCCCCCTGCATACGTGGGGGCCTGGCAAGAGACAGGCCCCATGCACAGTAGGAGAGGTGGGGTCCGATGTGGGCCAGACGCTGCTCAGGCTGTCCCCTCCTGGCCTCGGCTGTGTGTCTGTGTGTCCGTGTGTCCAAATTCCCCTCTTCTTATGACACCAATCCTTGGATCTGGACCCGCCCTCCTCCAGTTTGACCTCAACATAATTACATCTGCAAAGGCCTTGTTTGCAAATCAGGTCGCATTCACAGATTCTGGGTGGACGTGAATTTTGGGGGGACATTACTTAGCCGGCTACAAATGGCTTTTCCTTCCTGCCTGCCTCTGCCCCAAATCACCGTGTCCGAGGGGCCTTCCCTGCCCCTCTGAGACCGCAGTCCCACTGACCCCCCATTCCCGCCCGGATCACACCGGCTGCTGCTATGTTTCCTGTTTAGCACCCCCTCCCCTTGCCTCACTAGACCCGCTCCCCCCCGCAGCCCACACGAGCAGGTGCCCTGGGGCGAGCAGGGGTCAGCAGGCTCCTGTGACCTGGGTGGGGACGGGGAGGAGTCTGGATCCTGGGGAGGCAGCTGGGCGGAGGCAGGTGTGTGTCGGGGATGGAGGGAAGGGGTGCATGGATGGCAAGGTTTCTGGGAGGCAGAACCAATGGGCAGGTCTTAGACCCAGCTTGCTGGGAGGAGAGCAGAGGGGTCATGAGGCTCAGAGGGTTCCATGAATCCAGCCTGGAAACACGGCGTTTGGTTTCTGTGGAGACTGGCATTTCCTGGGTCTCTGGGTCAATCCTCTGCTACTAGGGCCCTGGCTCCCTGCTTCCCAAAGCAAACCAATTCTCTGATTTTTTGAGAGTAAGTGCATCTCTAATCACCCCTCCAGCAGGGCCTCCCCGGGGAGGCCAAGGGCAGGGAGGGAGGGGCTCAGCCGATCCCCTCCTGGCTGCCCCACGGAGGGGACTGGCCCCCACCAGCCTCCCCTGGGAGTCAGGAGGCAGAGATTGCTCTCTGCCCTGGTCTGGGAAGGACCCTGTGACCCTGAGGCCTGTGAGCCTCCAGCTCACAGCCGGGCCTGCTTCACAATCACAGCATGTTTTTTTGTTTTGTTTTGTTTTAACATTTATTTATTTCTGAGAGACAGCAGGCAGGGGACGGGCAGAGAGAGAGGGAGACACAATCGGAAGCAGGCTTCAGGCTCCGAGCTGTCAGCACAGAGCCCTACACGGGGCCTGAACTCACAAACCATGAGATCATGACCTGAGTCGAAGTCGGACGCTCAACCGACTGAGCCCCCTAGGCGCCCCCACCCGCAGCACGTTTTAATGGGGTTTCAGGGTCACGGAGATTTTAAGCTTCGACATGGAATCGATTCCACGTCCTGATGTGTCAGTTGCTTCCAAGCAACAGATGTGAAATTGCCCTGGTGACCTCTCCCCGTCTCGCCGCGGTGGGGAGCCACATTCTCCCCTGCACCTGTCACTCCACAGACAGGACAGTGGGCGCACAGGCGAGGAGGGGCCGGCCCGCGGTTCAGCTGGTCCCCCGCGTGGAGCCAGTGGTGGTGCTGGTGCTCGCCGGCCGATGCAGGGCTTGGCTTGGGGCCTGGTTTCCAGCAGCTCCCGGAGCCTGGGCACTGCCTGCTGTCACCCACAGTCTCCGGGCTGCGTGGTCAGTGGGGGTGGGGGTGGGGGGAGGGTGTGGCTCCCCGGAGGAGCCCGGGGTGCAGAGAGGGAAACGGAGGAGCAGACGGGCTCCTGTGAGGCCTCAGCACACGGTGAGGAACGTGGAGACACGTGTGTAGCAAGCGGGCCAAGATAGACTTAGGGTCGGGGCAGATCACTGCGGAAGTCCAAGGAGGAGGCGACCCGTGGGGAGTCTGGCTGGCATTCACCGACTCCCCGCCCAGCTCCCAGACCTGAGCACGTGCTCGGCGACCCTGCGGGAGCCCAGTCTCCTCCCTTGTCACCTGCGGCATCCTGCTCCGGGGGAGAGGTTGTCTTGGGGCGCTGCGCCCACGCGGGCTGGATAAACCTGCAGCTGGAGGGACACCTCGCTGACACCTGTCTGTCGTCCTGTCCCCCCAGGTCCTCGGACTTCGGGACGTCCTACACCAAGCTCACCCTGCAGCCCGGTGTCACCACGGTCATCGACAACTTCTACATTTGCCCCACGAACAAGAGAAAGGTAAGAGGACACCGGGACAGCTGCCCGGTCGGTCGGCACAGCCGGGCTCCCGGCCACCGCGTGCGACGTGACCGCCTCTCCCACGACACCCTTTCCGGTTCCCCTGTGATCCATTCGGACGGCTGTGTCTAAAGGGCCAGCTGGGACTTGGCAGAAAGGCTTGAGCACCTGTGTGGATGTGTCTGCCTTCTCCCTGCTCTGCAGACAGCGTCCGTCTGGGGGTGGTGGGCGCTGGGGAGCCGGGAAAGAATCTCTCCGTGGTGTGGGGTCGTCGGAAGGCAGTGGTGAGCAGTCCCCCTCCTCTGCTGGTTGTTTGGTTTATTTGGTTTTGACTTGGCTTCGGTCTGTCATCTGAGATGCACTTTCTGGTTTTCTTGGTCTGAGCGTGTCTCCTGCCCGCCCCCCGCCCGGCTGTGGAACGGGGACACCCCACCAGGTTCTGTGACGGGACCCATTTGCACACCTGTGCCTGCTTTGTGGCCACGTTAGGGCCCCAGAACGAGGTCAGAGGACGCTCCGGGCAGAGAGGCCCTATGTGCTTGGCCGCTTCCCAAGAAGCAGCTGAGTGTCACTGAAAGGGACTCCGTTGGACAGACCGGGTTCCTCACAGGAAAGGGGAATCGTGACAGCGGGGATTAGAACCCAGAGCCCCGTGGTTGTTCGGCGTGAGGCTGACCCACGGGCGCTGACGGTTGCTCTGGTGACTTTCAAGGAGAGGTCACAGCAGCGCAGAGCCCGGGAAACCCTCTGTCACCAGCCAGGAGGGTCCTAGGTACCCAGGAAGGTGCCAGGGCCGGCCCGCGGGCGGTGCCCGCCTTTGAAATGAAAAGAGCAGAAGCAGTGAGGGAAGGCCAGAGCTGGGTTTCTGAGGCCATGAGGTCAGGGAGGCCTTTACGGGGAGGCCGGGCAGGACAGCTCTGCTCCTGCACAAGGCAGCCTGGGACGTGGCTCCTCAGAGCCTCAATTTCCTGGCCCGTAAAGGGGGCGGACGGGAAGGTTAGCGAGATGATGCACGTAGCGGTGGACGTACAGTGAGGGGGCTTCTGGGTTAGGCAGGGCCTTCGGGGCAGGCCGGAGGTGACACAGGCTCGTGGAGCACTGGTCAGCGCTCTGATCGGGCGAGACTTTTCTGCAGGAAGCAGCAGGGGGACGGCTGCGTCTTTAACACAGACAGGACCCCCTGGCTGCACGGGTCGTCTGAGGATTTGCATGTTTAGCCTGGAAATGCCGGTGGGGGTGGAAGGTAGGGTCTGGGGGTGGGTGGGCTGTGGTGGCCCAGGGGCTCAGCCGACAGTACCCGCGTGGAATGAATGCCACAGCCAGCAGCAGGTCCCCCTGAATGAATGATGCCCACAGCTGCCCTGCACCTGCACCTCCCCGCTGCACCTGCTCTGGGCCTGCGTGTGAGGAGCCCGGGCTCCTCTCTGGGCTTTCTCTGGTCACCCTGCGTTTGCAGGGGAGCCTGGGGGATGGTGCCTGGGCTGGGGTGTCCCCAAACTCAGTCCAGCTCTGCCACATCCCCCAGTGAGGGGACCTCAGGGAGGGCTGAGCCCAGGTGTCTCGGCTGTGAATGGAGGCAGCAATCGAAGAGGTATCTGACTTTTCACAATTGCCACCGTGGGGGGGGAGGGGCTGCACAATGGCTCCCAAAGGTGTCCCCTCCCCGGGCCTGTGACTGTCACCTTACATGGCGAAAGAGACTTCACAGATGTGGTTAAGGATTTTGAGAGGTTGTCCCGATTCTCCTGGTGGGAGAATGTAATCACAGGGCCCGCATCAGAGTCAGAGAAGATATGGGGACACAGACAGAGGCTGGGGCTAGAGCGGGGGCACCTTCTCTTCTAGAGAGGCCGGAAAAGGCCAGGAAAGCCTTCTCCCCCTGGAGCCTCCAGATAGGAGCACAGCCAGCTGCCAGCTTGGTTTTGCATTTTCTCCCTCCGAACTGTGAGGGAATAAATTTCTGTTGTTTTAAGCTGCTCAGTTGTGGTAACTTGTTACGGCACCATAGGGACTCACACAGGGTCGTTTTGAGGGTGGACTGGAGGGGGGGCCGGGGCGTCACCCTGCCCCTCAACATCCACTCTGGATGGAATCAGCCTCCCCAGCCCCCTCCGCGTGGCCCCCAAGGGAAGCCCATGCCCCCCGCCTTCGAAAGCATGGACCCTGCTTCCTGCTGGACCTTGGACAGAGAAGCCAAATTCAGGTCCAGGCTTACAGAGTGCTCCGGCTTCTGTCCCCGCTCTGATACCTGCAGACGTACCCCACATACCTCAGGACTGAGCTGACCCCCACTGTGGTCAGGCTGAAGGGGCTGACGGGCCCACTGAGGCAGGCACTAGCTGCTTCAAAAGACCCCGAGACCCACGGGACGGGCGTCCGCCTTGGAGGCGGGCAGGGACAGCAGTGAGGGCTGGGCAGGAGGGCGGCCTGGGGGTCGATCGGCTCCGCTCCTTCTGCTGCTGGAGAGTCGCGGCTGGGCCCGCCTCTGGGCCCAGCCCACAGCCCACCAGCCGCAGGACCTTGCCCAAGTTCTGAACCGCCTGGTTCCCCGGTTTCTCCTCGGCGGAATGGGGGTAAAGGCAGCGTCTACACAGTAGATTGATGGGATGAAATGAGGTGCTATTTGCCAAGTGCTCAGAACAGGGCTTGGCTTAAGCAAAGTCCACGCAAGGGTCCCAAGACCATTGTCCTTAGTAAGTCTCTTACCAGCCACCTGAGACTGTGAGGGTAGGAGCTGGTTCTGGGGTGACTGATACTCCCATGGGGGTGGCAGTGGTCAGCTGTGTCTATCAGGGAGCAAGGCCTGGCCTGGGGGGTGACGGCCCTGTCGGCGTCTGTGATAGGTGTCAGGAGAGGGCCACTGCCTTCTCAGGCCTGCCCACACCTCTTTGCATGGAGGGAACAAGGCAGCCCCAGTCTCCGGGTCTAGAAAATGAAATGTCGGGGTGCCTGGGTGGCTCAGTCGGTTGGGCATCTGACTTCGGCCCAGGTCACGATCTCGGGGTTCATGGGTTCGAGCCCCGCGTCGGGCTCTGTGCTGACCGCTCGGAGCCTGGAGCCTGCTTCAGATTCTGTGTCTCCCTCTCTCGCTGCCCCTTCCCCGCTCACGCTCTGTCTGTCTCTCTCTCAAGAATAAATAAAGATTAAAAAAAAAATTTAGAAAATGAAATGCCAGGGGGCGCCTGGGTGGCTCAGTCTGTTAAGCATCCGACTTCAGCTCAGGTCATGATCTCACGATTCATGGGTTTGAGCCCTGAGTTATGCTGACAGTGCAGAGCCTGCGTCAGATGCTCTGTCCGCCCCCCCCCCCCGCCCGGCACCTCCCCTCTGCTCGCTCTCTTCTTCAAAATAAATAAACATTTAAAAACAATGAAATGCCAGCTTCTCTGCCCGAAGAGGTGGGACTGGCACTGGGTGGGGCTGGGGACATATCCCGCTCTCTGGGAGGGCACGACCCACTGGAGGCTCCAGGTGACCGTGGGTCTGGGAGGCAGGGAGCCAGAGGCCCATGCTCTGGGCCACAGGCAGTTATTTCCACTGTCCCTGCCTCAGTTTCCTCATCTGTCAAGTAGGCTCGTAACAGGGGAACGAGGATTACGTGAGTCGATACATACGAACGACTTAGATCGGGGCCTGGAACACGGTGGTGCTGTGTCCCCAGAGCCGCCCCTGCAGGAGAGGGCCCTCAGCCATATCAGGAGATGTGGATGCGGGGGTCCGGGCCTGGGGCTGGGGCGGTGCCCTTCCTGGAAAGAGATTTCTCCTGCGTATAAAGCAAACTTCCTTCTGTCTCTGCATTACTCGTCCCTTGATTCGTGGCTTCTTGATTCTGCGGCCACACCGCGGTGAGCATTCCCGGTGCGCCGGGCCCTGGGTCAGAACCAGATGTCGGCCACACCCGTTTATGTGTCGGGAGGGGCGCACGACTTGGGGCTTCACATCGTCACCTCCACTATCCCGACGAGAAAATGGGCTCGGGGAGGCTGGGAGACTCGTCCAAGTTCATCCTGCCGCAGGCGGCAGAGTATATTCCCCTTTCACTGATGCAAGGAAGGTACCGAGTGTCTCTCTGTGCCTGGGTCGTCTAGACGCTCTGGGGCGCTCGGTCTTACCCTGAGCTCCCCAGGCACCCTGCAGGATGTTCTGGACTCCTGTGCTCTCCTCCCAGGGGGAGAATGGCAGCTGGGGAAGGAGACACACGTGAGCGGAACCCCGGCTCCGCTTGGTTCATCCTGTGCCTCAGCTGGGACCCCAAGCTCCCTCCCAACACCAGCGCCCATCCACTCGACAGATGTGGGTCGAGGGAGGCCCTACTGTGCGCCAGGCCATGCGCTCGCTACCGGGGAGAGAGGACCTTTTGTCCTTCCCATCTTGTAGGCAACAAATCCACATTACACGCCTACTGTGCGCTGGGGGCCCCTTGCTGGACACGGGGGCTGCAGAGGTGAACTGGACAGACAACACTAACCTTCTAGAACCTTGAGGGTCTAGTAGAGGGCTGAGGCACAACCTCTCATGCTGTGTTTTGTGGGGAGGAAGAGAAAGGGGGCTAAAGTCAGCCTCCCGCGGAGAGAGGATTTGTCCTCCAGTGAGTCTGATCTGGGAGAAGGTCTGGCCCTTATTTGTAGGGCCTCCTGCCTCTCCTGTTAGGGTAATGGATAGACTTTGCAGGAAGATGTGAATACTATTAGGAGTGCATTTAGCACCAATTACAGGCCAAGCAGCACTTTATAGCTTCTTAAGAGACCACTTTGCAACCTGTCTCACAAAATAAATTCCCTTTTAGTTTTGTCTTGCCTGCAGTAAAACCAGAGCTCCCTGGCCTTGCTGCCCACGGGTAGGACCTTGTACCACTGTCACGGCAATGACCTGAGGCTCTGCCCCCCGCCCCCAGTCCACAAACATCCCCTGTGGGCCTTCCCTACTGTCTGCAATCCCCACCTTAGTTCTGGATAGCTGTGTATTTCTAACTTGGCCACAGAACACCACGGCCGTGGGCC